TGAAATTACATTCATGCAAGGATTATTTATTAATATTATCAATATAAAGTGTGTTCAATAAAGTACTGTAAGTTTAACCAGGATTCAGTATTCTTATTTGCGTGCCCGGATTATAAGTGGAAGAATGAAGAAGCCTTAGTCGGCATCCTGAAATATCAACATAACATAAGTAACCATACTACTGACATAACCCACAGCATAAGAAATAAGCTCCCACGCCATGTCAGAGTAGGTGTGTTACAAAGCACTAACTATGAAGGAGCAAAGTTGTATTGAAAATTCCACTACCATCATTTGGAAGGTTTTTTTTTGAGTTATTAAGCTTTCAGGTGTTGACTCAAATAAACATGAAATGACCTCTGAACTTTGCACAAACCAGAGAAAAGAAGACTGAAAGGAAACAATGGCTAACACAGTGATGTCAACATGAAGCCGTATGAAAACACACTCCATGGTTCATACAAGCGTACCGACACCAAACCATGGAAACACCTTCTCGCCGTTAACAATCACCGGTGCTGACACCAACCTATGGAAACACCTTCTCACCATTAGCAATCACCGGTGCTGACACCAACCTACTGAAACACCTTCTCACCATTAACAATCACCACTGCTGACACCAACCTACTGAAACACCTTCTCACCATTAACAATCACTGGTGCTGACACCAACCTACTGAAACACCTTCTCACCATTAACAATCACCTGTGCTGACACCAACCTACTGAAACACCTTCTCACCATTAACAATCACCGGTGCTGACACCAACCTACTGAAACACCTCCTCACCATTAACAATCACCGGTGCTGACACCAACCTATTGAAACACCTTCTCACCATTAACAATCACCGGTGCTGACACCAACCTATTGAAACACCTTCTCACCGTTAACAATCACGGGTGCTGGTAAAATCCTCACAACATGTCCGCCTTCCAATCGGAACTTTGCCTTGAAGTCCACAGCCCGCTTGTTCTGCAACTTTTGCTTGAGGAATATTACATTTGGAGCCTGAAATGTTAAATATACACAGTGTCAGACAGATGATCTAGAGCAGCGGTTCTTAAGCTGTGGGTCTGTAAGGGTTGTTGAACCCCCCAAAGGTGGCTTAAGACCACACAACACGTTATATGAAGTAGCGATGAAAATAGTTTCATGGTTGGGGGTCACAACAACATGAGGAACTGTATTAAAGGGTCATGGCATTAAAAAGGTTGAGAACCCCTGATCTAGAGGAATATTACATTTGGAGCCTGAAATGTTAAATAGACAAAAGTCTCAGATAGATGATCTAGTATTTCAGACCTGCTAACCCTCCAAATCCTAAAATCGTACAATATCATCTAAAAATGGTACAATACAGTATCTAACTAGTAGATAAATAAACATAGTATATATAATGTATAAAATAACTACTCTAATTGCATGTGGAGTGGGATCAGGTTAAGCTGACCTCAAAATAAGTAGCTTCCAACAGTCAAAAACTGACGTCAAAATAGGTAACTTCCAACAGTCAACCACTGACGTTTATATCGCAATCAGCAATATCTTTTTTTTGTGCAGATAGATATCAATGAATATGCAGGTCACATTATAAGCATTGCAAATCATATGCCATTTAGGTCCCAGCATTGCATATCATATGCCATCTGGGTCCCAGTTGCAAATTATGCCATTTAGGTCCCAGCATTGCATATCATATGCCATCTGGGTCCCAGTTGCAAATTATACCATTTAGGTCCCAGCATTGCATATCATATGCCCTCTGGGTCCCAGTTGCAAATCATATGCCATTTAGGTCCCAGCATTGCATATTATATGCCATCTTGTCCGAGGATTAAAAATCATATGCCATCTTGGTCCCAGTTGCAAATCATATGCCATTTAGGTCCCAGCATTGTATATCATATGCCATCTGGGTCCCAGTTGCAAATCATATGCCATTTAGGTCCCAGTATTGCATATCATATGCCATCTGGGTCCCAGTTGCAAATCATATGCCATTTAGGTCCCAGCATTGCATATCATATGCCATCTGGGTCCCAGTTGCAAATCATATGCCATTTAGGTCCCAGCATTGCATATTATATGCCATCTTGTCCGAGGATTACAAATCATATGCCATCTTGGTCCCAGTTGCAAATCATATGCCATTTAGGTCCCAGCATTGCATATCATATGCCATCTTGGTCCCAGTTGCATATCATATGCCATTTAGGTCCCAGCATTGCATATTATATGCCATCTTGTCCGAGGATTACAAATCATATGCAATCTTGGTCACAGATGCATAAGGTATCTGGAAGTTAAAATAGAAAGAGGACTATAAAAGAACTTTTTGGGCTAAGAAGAGCCTTCCTCAGTAGACAGGATAAATGGAAAAAAAACAATTGTTGTTCATTTACAGCTCTTTCTTTCTATTCAAGCCTCCATACAGTTTGTTCTACTGTTTCCTTCAAACAGCTTGAATGCAGTCCTTCATTTAATTACTATTTATGAGTTGTTAATTTAATACGTTTTTTATGTCAGCCACAGTGATTATTGTGGATCACCTGAAACAGAAAGCCCTCAGGTGGCCACTCTATCACAGCTGAAGACAGAAAGCCCCCAGGTGGCCACAAGATCAAAGCTGAAGACAGAAAGCCCCCAGGTGGCCACAAGATCAAAGCTGAAGACAGAAAGCCCCCTGGCAACCACTATATCACAGCTGAAGACAGAAAGCCCCCTGGCAACCACTATATCACAGCTGAAGACAGAAAGCCCCCTGGCAACCACTCTATCATAGCTGAAGACAGGAAGCCCCCTGGCAACCACTCTATCACAGCTGAAGACAGAAAGCCCCCTGGCAACCACTATCCCAGCTGAAGACAGAAAGCCCCCAGCTGGCCACTCTATCCCAGCTGAAGACAGAAAGCCCCCAGGTGGCCACTCTATCACAGTTGAAGGTAACAGAATCAAAAACACATACCCCAGTCTTCTCCTTCCTTTTATTGACCATCTTGGCAAGTTTTGTGGCCAGGTGAGCCACACCTTCTACGCCATCCCCTATGTCCACAGAAGGCAAGGAGGTGAATCTACGGGGGACTGACTCCAAGTCTTTGTTGTAGACAGGAATAAAAATGATGGAGTCCTGTCAGGTGGAGACAACGGCACATGACGTCAGCGTGTGTCAGGTGGAGACAACGGCATGAGATAATGAGTTCGTATGATAAAATGTTTACAAATAAACCATGAGTATGCCATGTTAATCAGTTCTTTAGTTTAGCCTGTCTATACAAACAATTTCATAGTTAGATGATGATGATGATGATGATAATTGAAAAAGATGACAATGGGGACGTCACTCTCACTAACCTGAGCAAAATGTCTACCAAGGGCAATGTTGAACTCTTCATTACAAACTGAAGATTTGATATAGCCAGGGGAGAGAAATGCAACAATACAAAGGGCCTTATCCATAGCCTCGTACAGAGCTTGTTGCCACAAATTACCTGAATAGGAAGAACATATAAACCTTTAAACGCAACAGCTTCACCAAGTTTACAAGGTGCAGGTGTTATGTTATAAGGTGGAGGTGTAAGCTTATAAGGTGGAGGTGTAAGCTTATAAGGTGGAGGTGTTACTTTATAAGGTGGAGGTGTCAGTTTATAAGATGGAGGTGTAAGCTTATAAGATGGAGGTGTTAGTTTATAAGGTGGAGGTGTCAGTTTATAAGATGGAGGTGTAAGCTTATAAGATGGAGGTGTTAGTTTATAAGGTGAAGGTGTTAGTTTATAAGGTGGAGGTGTTAGTTTATAAGGTGAAGGTGTTAGTTTATAAGGTGGAGGTTTAAGCTTATAAGATGGAGGTGTAAGCTTATAAGATGGAGGTGTTAGTTTATAAGGTGGAGGTGTTAGTTTATAAGGTGGAGGTGTTAGTTTATAAGGTGAAGGTGTTAGTTTATAAGATGGAGGTTTAAGCTTATAAGATGGAGGTGTAAGCTTATAAGATGGAGGTGTTAGTTTATAAGATGGAGGTGTTAGTTTATAAGGTGAAGGTGTTAGTTTATAAGGTGGAGGTTTAAGCTTATAAGATGGAGGTGTTAGTTTATAAGGTGGAGGTTTAAGCTTATAAGATGGAGGTGTAAGCTTATAAGGTGGAGGTGGTAGTTTATAAGGTGGAGGTGTTAGTTTATAAGGTGGAGGTGTAAGCTTATAAGATGGAGGTGTTAGTTTATAAGGTGGAGGTGTCAGTTTATAAGATGGAGGTGTAAGCTTATAAGATGGAGGTGTAAGCTTATAAGATGGAGGTGTTAGTTTATAAGGTGAAGGTGTTAGTTTATAAGGTGGAGGTTTAAGCTTATAAGGTGGAGGTGTAAGCTTATAAGATGGAGGTGTTAGTTTATAAGGTGGAGGTGTCAGTTTATAAGATGGAGGTGTAAGCTTATAAGGTGGAGGTGTTAGTTTATAAGGTGAAGGTGTTAGTTTATAAGGTGGAGGTTTAAGCTTATAAGATGGAGGTGTAAGCTTATAAGGTGGAGGTGGTAGTTTATAAGGTGGAGGTGTTAGTTTATAAGGTGTAGGTGTAAGCTTATAAGGTGTAGGTGTAAGCTTATAAGGTGTAGGTGTAAGCTTATAAGGTGTAGGTGTAAGCTTATAAGGTGTAGGTGTAAGCTTATAAGGTGTAGGTGTTAGTTTATAAGGCAGAGGTGTTAGTTTATAAGGTGTAGGTGTAAGCTTATAAGGTGTAGGTGTAAGCTTATAAGGTGTAGGTGTAAGCTTATAAGGTGTAGGTGTAAGCTTATAAGGTGTAGGTGTAAGCTTATAAGGTGTAGGTGTAAGCTTATAAGTGTAGGTGTTACTTTATAAGGCAGAGGTGTAAGCTTATAAGGTGTAGGTCTAAGCTTATAAGGTGTAGGTGTAAGCTTATAAGGTGGAGGTGTAAGCTTATAAAGTGTAGGTGTTAGTTTATAAGGCAGAGGTGTTAGTTTATAAGATGTAGGTGTTAGTTTATAAGGCAGAGGTGTTAGTTTATAAGATAGAGGTGTTATATAAAGGTGAATTATAAACATGACATCCACATTAAACCATAAACCTGGCAACCCACATGGAACTTCTTTCGATTTTTTTCAAAATAACGCTGTGTAGCTAGACCTATGCTTAATGAACTTAGTGGTGTTTGTCTTTCTAGAATCTATTCAAACTGTTAGTGTCCACAGTGATGAATTTGATGCAGAAATGGAGAAATTGATTATGGAAAAAAAAGTGATGTTGATTTTTGCATTAGTTCAACATCTTGATATCCGAGATGGGTAAGATGACAAAGATGATGTTGATAGATCTGACTGCTCTGACCAAATATGTTCAACTGACATTGAAGAATGTGTAGGTGCAACTGGGCCTAATGTAGACTTATCTTTTCAAAATGTCATATTTTCTCTACAATTATCAGTATTTTATTTCTCCAGTTTTTTGGTTATAATGTTCAGTTATTTGGTCAAAGTTGTTCAGTTATTTGGTCAAAGTTGTTCAGTTATTTGATCAAAGTTGTTCAGTTATTTGGTAAGAACGTTCAGTTATTTGGTCACAATGTTCAGATATATGGTCACAATGTTCAGTTATTTGGTCCTAATGTTCAGTTATTTGGTCACAATGTTCAGTTATTTGGTCACAATGTTCAGTTATTTCATCACAATGTTCAGTTATTGTGTCACAATGTTCAGTTAATTGGTCAAAGTTGTTCAGTTATTTGGTCACAATATTCAGTTATTTGGTCACAATGTTCAGTTATTTGGTAAGAACGTTCAGTTATTTGGTCACAATGTTCAGTTATTTGGTCACAATGTTCAGTTATTTGGTCACAATGTTCAGTTATTTGGTCAGAACGTTCAGTTATTTGGTCACAACGTTCAGTTATTTGGTCACAATGTTCAGTTATTTGGTCACAATGTTCAGTTCACCAACCTGCCTTCAGTTCACTCAGGTCAAAGAAGACATTCAGCTCTGGGTGATTTCTCTGCAGGACTTGGACCAATTCTTTTGGCAGCTGGGCACAACTGTGTGAGTAAGACACAAACACATCATAGACCGTATCCTTGCTCCTGCGCAGGGCCTCACCGTCCGAAGCATCCTGGCTAACTTCAGAAGACAGACTCTCCGTGTGTCTATCCTTAATGGAATGAATGAGATTTGAACAGGCCAGGTCGAGGAGCTCCTCGGCAGACTCATCTTCCTTTCGAACCCTGTGAACGGAGCAATAGTTCAGACAATTTGATCTAACTAAAATTGGTCTAATGCAACTTTAAAACAATGCATAATATTTATGCTGGAGTCTTCACAAAAATCAATTAGCCATTTGTGGGGTTCACATGCTCATCTATAGCTCACATGACATGAAACAAATAGATTAGACAGCTGCAGGCAACAACAAATGTCCAAATAAAATAATATGTTTAAAAAAGTATGGGGATTGATAAACGTCTTAGTGTCCATAGAGATTTAGGTAAATGTATAAGGCTCAATGTGTATTTTTTTTTTTTATAAGCTTAAGGTGTAGAGCCAAATGTATAGAGCTGAATGTGTAGAAATAAATGTGTAGAGATAAATGAATAGCGATAAATGTATAGAGCAGCTGAATTACCCATTTTCATCATTATTTCTGTGCTCTCCACTTCTTTCTTTTAATTAAGAGTTGCCCTTGGCATGTAAGCACCCAGGTTTTGCTTATTTTCTTTTGACTCTTGTCACATGCAAACCTTTAGCATAACCCAGGCTTAAGAACCTATTAGTATACTTTTGGTACAGCACTCGCTGCATCTAAAACAATATTTTATTAGTGAAAATTAATCATCTGTGTTGCTAATGGTACAAATTACATTTACATATCCTTCACTTCATCAAGAAAAATAAAAAAATAAAAACAAACAAAAACTAGCAGAAAACAAAATGAAACTTTACCAACCTGCATTCTGTGTACTGTACAAGACTCATGTAGCTTGGTACTGAGTTAACTGTTTGTAGGTAAAATGGGAAAAGCACTTCTTCTTTCTTCAACCTGTTGCAACACAGAGCCATGCTGAACTGCTCTAAGCACTGCGCATCGTCAATGTAGGCAGGGGTCAGGATGGCGAGGATCCTGAAAGTTTTTATTGATAAATTTAAACTTGAGACAGAAAGCTCTGGAAAAAGTAAAACACGGAAAAATGAGGATATGTTTGATAAGTAATTTTCAGTGGTAAAATAAATAAAATGGATTTAACATGACAGAAATATATTGTGAAAGGATTTAAATTAACAAAATAAATTCAAAGACAGCATCGGTCTCATCACTTTTGTAACTAATACAAAACTTTCGGTCTCATCACTTTTGTAACTAATACAAAACTTTCGGTCTCATCACTTTTGTAACTAATACAAAACTTTCGGTCTCATCACTTTTGTAACTAATACAAAACTTTCGGTCTACTAATACAAAACTTTCGGTCTCATCACTTTTGTAACTAATACAAAACTTTCGGTCTCATCACTTTTGTAACTAATACAAAACTTTCGGTCTCATCACTTTTGTAACTAATACAAAACTTTCGGTCTAATCACTTTTGTAACTAATACAAAACTTTCGGTCTCATCACTTTTGTAACTAATACAAAACTTTCGGTCTCATCCCTTTTGTAACTAATAAAAACTTTCGGTCTAATCACTTTTGTAACTAAATACAAAACTTTCGGTCTAATAACTTTTGTAACTAATACAAAACTTTCGGTCTCATCACTTTTGTAACTAATACAAAACTTTTGGTCTAATCACTTTTGTAACTAATACAAAACTTTTGGTCTCATCACTTTTGTAACTAATACAAAACTTTGGGTCTCATCACTTTTGTAACTAATACAAAACTTTCGGTCTCATCACTTTTGTAACTAATACAAAACTTTCGGTCTCATCACTTTTGTAACTAATACAAAACTTTCGGTCTCATCACTTTTGTAACTAATACAAAACTTTGTTTTAAGGTGCAAACAAAAATATCAGTAGATTTTGTTCATAAATCTCATGGCATTTGAAAGAAGCTCCCCTTCCATATCCGTCATTGTGAAACCTCGTCCACTTTCAAAAAGTCCCTTAAAACCCATCTGTTTAGGTCCGCCTATGACCTGTGATGCAACCTCCTTGCCCTGCCTCATTTTCTGTCTCGGGTTGATCCTGTAGTATAGGCCAAAACGTGCCAAAGTGTCCTCGTTTTATAGCCATTTTAATTGTTTCTATAGTATAGCAGTTACTATCCTAGTGTCTCATTTTTATTTTACTTAGTTTACATGTTTTAATAATTGTAAAGCGCTTAGAGCTTTAAGGTAAGCGCTATATAAAAATGCCTAAATAAATAAATATATAATTATATGGGCTAGCTTTGATTAGCTTCTTAAATTTTTGTTTTTTCTTCAGCAGTATGAACTTCACTTCAAAATTAAAAGCTGTAGTTTCTTGCATCCACATTGATCAGTGTATCCGAGGTTGTATTTAATATGTCTTTACTTTAATGTAATGTAGGCTACAAAAGGAAGTCACCTGGCTAATCTTACTTTACATTAACCAGTTGGGAAGGAAAACTAATTTAAAAAAAAATTAAGATATGTGAATGAGTGACTTGCCTTTTGGAGCTTCTCATAACACTGAAGATCTCCTTCTGCCAAACATCATTGGGATTGAAGACAAACAGATCAGAGTGGATTTTAAGCTCTCTGTTCTGTTTAAGCAGACTTTGTCTTACTTTTCTGGCCAAATCTAAATCAGCAGCTGAATAGGATAGGCAAATATCATAGGGTCCACTTTCAGTTTCCTGGAAAATATAACATTTAACATAAGAGAGGAAAAGAAATTTAAGCTGTTTAACCTCATTCAAAAAGAAAATCTTTAAAAAGTTGGAATACTGAGAATAAGTAATACTCATTTTTATTAAGGCACTTAGATATATCCAATGCAATTATCAGAGTGGTCATAATTTATTTTTGGAGTGTCAAAATGCTGCCTTAAATTTAAAGACTAGTCCAGCATGGACGGACCACTGTTAAATGGAGTTTCAGAAACTGAATTTAAAGAGGTCCACAAAGGGATACATTCAAAATAAATTTTCAGACATCAAACTAAAATCTTTTTCATTATCATAGAAAAAGTCCACTTTCCGAACACAGTGGAGCTAGGAATATTAACCTAATACAAACCACTGCTCATTAAGCATACATAACGTTTTATTTCAAGTTAGTTCACAAGAATTTTTCTGTTCTCTGGGTCTATTAATTATCAAGGAGGGCATTTACAAAAAATAACAATTAAACTTAGTTTCAGCATTCTAGTGAGAAAAATACAGATGGTTCATTTTTAGGCAATAAATGGTACTGAATTGAATATGAATAAGAATCTCCAGTACCTAACGTTTTAGACAACCTCTATGTAACTTACTTGTACATTAGCAGGCAAAAGCACAAATTTGAGTGTTGAGAGGCATTTTTTTAAACATTTTTCTTCGTATATAGATCTAGATCTACACTTAAAAACACAAATTTAAATCTTTAAAAAAACAATCAGACTCTACTCACCGTCATATTCTCCAGTTCATGCCATTTGTTCTTCAGGCTGGCAAACAGATTTAAGCATTTTGAGTTTATGTCTGATAATCTGGATGTGTCACCAGAGTACAAAACTATTTTCAAGCACTTTAACGGCAGACCGGCTTTGATCCACTCACAGGCACCGTTCACCATCCCAGCCAATGACTGTAGTGCTGAGTAACCCTGTTGGGATCATTGATAAGGACAGTTCTATACGTCAATCACATTAAATCATTGATAAGGACAGTTGCATGCTTCAATCACATTAAATCATTGATAAGGACAGTTGCATGCTTCAATCACATTAAATCATTGATAAGGACAGTCCCATGCTTCAATCACATTAAATCATTGATAAGGACAGTTGCATGCTTCAATCACATTAAATCATTGATAAGGACAGTTGCATGCTTCAATCACATTAAATCATTGATAAGGACAGTTCTATACGTCAATCACATTAAATCATTGATAAGGACAGTTGCATGCTTCAATCACATTAAATCATTGATAAGGACAGTTGCATGCTTCAATCACATTAAATCATTGATAAGGACAGTCCCATGCTTCAATCACATTAAATCATTGATAAGGACAGTTGCATGCTTCAATCACATTAAATCATTGATAAGGACAGTTGCATGCTTCAATCACATTAAATCATTGATAAGGACAGTTCTATACGTCAATCACATTAAATCATTGATAAGGACAGTTGCATGCTTCAATCACATTAAATCATTGATAAGGACAGTTCTATACGTCAATCACATTAAATCATTGATAAGGACAGTTGTATGCTTCAATCACATTAAATCATTGATAAGGACAGTTGTATGCTTCAATCACATTAAATCATTGATAAGGACAGTTGTATGCTTCAATCACATTAAATCATTGATAAGGACAGTTGTATGCTTCAATCACATTAAATCAACAGAGTTTTTGTTGGTTCACTTTGTAACTCTCTCTCTCTCTCTCTGCTCTCAACCCTTTTTCTCTGCAAAATCCTATCCTGTTCTTTTACTTTCTTCTTCCCCCCTCTTGCAATTATATCCATTCACACTTTTGATTCACTACCAGTTCACATTTTCGCTTGAACTTCACACAGCCTGACAAATATTCTTCTATTTTATATTTTATTTTCACATAATTTGTTTGCTGTGTAAGTCTTTTGCAAGTCTGTTGTTGCATCTTTATTTCAGGTTAACCCTCCAACCCCACTTCCTGCCCTGTGTTTCTTTATGTTATTTATAAATCATTAAACTATTAATGTGTGCTTCCACGTTTAGACAAATTTCTCTTTCAACTGTAAAATTTAGATCTTCTGATACCACAGTAAATACATAGAAATAAAATAGACTATCCCCTTTTGGCATTGTAAACAAATAAAATTTCACTATAATTTTTGTCTTCTTTTCTTAACTTAATTTTATTTATTGTTAAACTTTTAAATTCTATGACATTAAAACCAGCAGAAATACGACAAATGTAATGGTAACAAAGAATGCAGTATGATAAGTTTGTTAAAGAGATGATTTTCACCTGATCTCCTGAGGCTAAAAGTGGAGTAATAATACTAGTGTCTGTATTGCCCAATATGGGCATCATGGCTCGGAACATCTGACACAACTGCTCAGTCAGGTTGGCTTTTTTTTTATTGCTGGAAAAAATAGTTTAAATGTAAAAAATTGTAATAAATCATTTTGACAACAGCAGTCATAAAAAAATTCATTATTTTAGAAATGATTAATTATATTTTAAAGTCCTTAAAGCCAAAACTCAGATAACTATTATATTTCCTAAAAAAAAATTGTAATTATTTTCGCAGCCACTCAGTGATTAGTATAACATGTTTTAACATTTTTCGGTAAACAAATATTAATGTTTAAAATCATAAATTAAATTGCAGTTATCATCATGCCATTTAGAATTTTTATATTTTCAACTTTCTATCAAATTCTGATGATAATTTCAATATTACCTGCTGGTGTGGGAATTCAACGTCTGATATTAAACACCGCATAAACCGACTAATCAAGAAAGTTAGGAACATAACACAAACTAAACATCCTTTACTTGAAGAACTATTGGAAGAAAGATTTTTTGTAGAACTAAACACATTTTGGATGATACATCCCACCCTCTTCAATCACAGATACTTAGGATCGGGCTGTTCGGGAAGAATTCTTTCCATCAAGGCGAGGACTGACAGATACAAAAATTCTTTTGTTCCCCAATCTGTACGAATGTACCGGCATGCTTCCTCTGAAGTCACACATCTGAATGAGAACTAATAAGTCCCCGATTTTGCTATGAGAACTCACTGAATGGCTGTTGGAAATAATTTAATATAAATGTCTTGTGTTCAAATTGTTTTATTTTTGAGCTGAAAATATATAATGCAATCAAAAAAAATTTCCATTTATTTGGATCAATAAAAGAATCTTATCTTATCTTATCTTATCTTATGATAATTGATCATCTTTATAATTTAAAAAATTTTCTGCACAATGTTTAAACTGATTTTTGCATCTGATATAAAATAATAAGTAAGTTGAGCTCTAGCTCTATAACTACAAACATCGTCAGTTTTACATACAGTTCAAAGCAGACCAGGCGTCGAAAAGGCAAATCTGCTTGTAACAATTTAGAGACCCAGCAGGAGAAGTTTAAACGTAAATCCAATTCTTTACATTGTGCAAGCTGGTGTACACTGATATTCAGGTTATGAGACAGGCTTCCAATGAGAGTTGAGTAGACTGGAGAATAGTCGCCTGGTGTTTAAACAAAAAATTGGAAGAGAAAAAAATTCTAAAATTATAGGCCTACAAATGGCTTTAAACAATTAATTCCTAAATAATTTTTGCTACAAAAATATTATTTAATGATATCTTTTATTGTATCGTTATTTATTATCAATGTCTATATTATTTACTTTAAAGTTATATGCGTTAGGGAAATAAACTGGAAAGACTCCAAAATCATTTTGATGATGGAATAACAGATTAATAAATGTTTTTATAATGATGATCTTTTGAAAATGAATGTTATAAAGATTACATTCTGCATAATTTGGCATAATTTATATAATACAAATACAAGATTTGATTCAGTGGGTGACCAGACAGTGAACACATGGCAAATGCACACATGATAAATGTGCACATTGGTTGTGCACACTGAAAAAATGCATCCTCACCATAGAAAGCAGAGGTGATAACTACATCTACTTTTTCCTCCACCCGTAACTTCGTTATATCTCCTACATGAATCTGAATTTCCCGTTTTCCCAAAGGAGTTGACAGTTCTATCTTGTCTTTTTCTATTAGTGCCATTCTGTGAAATGAATTTTTTTTATATCTGAAATGTATCACTAAAAAAATAAAATAAAACAAATACATTTTTTAAATTAAATTTAAGGTAAAGTATTCTGAATTCTAATCTTTACACTTTTTTACTACCACTGACAGACAGTTAATTTTAATTTAACTAACTGCTTTCCATCACTTAAATTAAAAGGCGAAAGCATTTGATTGTGATTTAAAATGTAGGTAGGAACCTTTACATTCATTTAGCTATAAGACTTAACTTAAATAGTAAAATAGTTAAATAGTAAAGGCTAAGTTTTCGGGCTAAGTAAGTTTTTACTTTCACTATTTTAAGTATGGGCCGCAATCTCAATTGTCAATAGCTATTTTACGCCACTCACACACCATTAGTATTATAAAAACACCACTTACTGTTTTAATTGAAACCGTGGTGTGGTAAATTTTAAGGACGAATGAGTGAGGGTTCAACGAAGTGTGGGTGAAAAGTTAACAAGTAAATTGTTTTAAAGTTTTAAGTTTAAGGAATGAAACACGTCTCTTATCATCCTGTTTGTTATCATGTCTGGAGAGAGGTGGTGTACGGTGTAAATATTGGTGAGGCGGTAAGGTATTACTAAGTAAAAGTATTAGTACTATTAACTATTAGTAAGTCGGTAATAGTCCTGACATCTTTATTATTTGGTCGGATTTGTTTAAAAAGTTTGACGACAGTCTACTAATTAAAAATAATGTGTGTGTTTTTTGTTATTTTTATTTTGTGTTTCTACTTTTTCCACAACGCATATTAAATGATTTTGCTTTTTTTCAATTCCCCCCTCCCCCAATTGTTTGCTTTAATTTATCTCACTTTAAAAGTTGTTAGTAGTGTATATAGTAAAATAGGTATTAGTACATCTTGAGGTGAGAGAATAGAAAAAACAAGAGTAGATAACACCATTATTTGTGTTTACGTAGTAGCAGTATTCAGTATACAAGATATAATAACAATAACAGGCTTCTTGAGCTATTCACAGTTTATCATCGTATGCATAGACTTTCACTTTAATTTTAATTAACTTAATGTTTTGTTACATTTTCTAACCTACATCTTAAACGCATGCCTATGATCTTCTCTTTCCTTTGCACTAAATTTGCATTCAACTGAACTGTCTACTCTACAGTTACAGTCTACAGTGACAGTACAGTTTGAGTTTGACAGGAAGCAATGGCAATAATTATAATAATGTCGCCGAATTTTGAATGGCATGATTATGATGATGATGATGATGACCAGATCATGACATTGTCTATCTATGCCTTTGAATGCCTATTAATATTACTATTAGTATTTATTAGTATTAGTAAATGTAATAAGTATTAGCACTTATATTTATAATTATATAAAATAAATACTTGACTTATTTAGGGTTCGAAGTGGCGTACGAGAGTTATACGCAGTCGGCAAGTCATGTGAGGTCTATATACTTCCTCTGTTACAGTATCGTTCATTAAAGGTACCTCGTTATCAAGATGACTAGGTGGTCGAATGGTTTAAATTGAGCAAACCTGAAGTTGGTGGTTTGGAGTTCAATTCCAGCCAACGGCTAGTCAAGACTCAATGATACGTGTGCTTTGTTATGTTTGTTCTCGAGAATGAATCAACAGCTCGGTTAATTAAGTCACTTTTGTTTTGGCTAAAAATTGTTAAAACATGATTAGAATTATAATCAGGGGTGGAGAGTAGCTGAAAAAAATAGCCGAAGGGGCAGGGGTTTCTGTAGAGGGGGCACTGTAAGTAATACTTTCACACAGTTATAGTTTTGCATGGAAGCTGAAAACTGTTACATTTAGGTCACCCACCCCCCCCAAAAAAAAAATAAAAAATAAATTATATGAGTTGTTAAAAATAAATAGAACGTATTTCCTGAATTAGTCAGTGAAACCAACCACATAGTCATAGCAACATATAAAAACCTAATCAATCAGAGTACAGAACTCGACTTAAACCAAGGAAATGTCTTAAGGCAGTGGTTCTCAACCTTTCCAATGCCGCAACCCTTTAATATAGTTCCTTACGTTGTGGCGACCCCCAAACACACAATTATTTTCGTTGCTGCTTGGTAACTTTTGAGCGTGTGTGTTTTCCGATGGTCTTAGGCGACCCCTGGGAAATGGTCATTCGACCACCAAAGGGGTCGCGACCCACAGGTTGAGAACCGCTGCCTTAAGGCATAATCATCTTCTTAGTTTTAGACTCTAAGAAATTTATAACTTTGACTTAGACTTATAATTATAATTTATAAGATACAAGCAATAATACTAATAATAGCACTAATACTATTACTATTATTCAAAATTAATTAAAATTAATTCAATTAAAATGTTACGTCTTACGTTGAACACATCAGAGTTCTAGTTCAAAACAACCCATTATGCGGCTCATTACGCATAATACTTTTTTTGAAATTGCCAAACTAGCGGTAATAAACCTTATTTGGCTAAATTCCCAGTCGACTGCGTATAACCCTGAGAGTTATACGCAGTCGGCTGGGAATAACTTTCAGGGTTATGCGCAGTCGACTGCGTATAACTCTCAGGGTTATGCGCAGCCGACTGCGTATAACACTTCCCTTTAGGGTTTTAGGATACTAATTGTTACATTTTGAATTTTAATATTGGATTAAAATAAATTCAATAACTTAAATGACTTAGATTATGAGACTATGAGTTTGCACTCATTAACTATTATTAGTACCTTACTAACTTAGGTAGGAGCTTGGGCATGATATTACTACTTATACTAGTTTAGTTTAGTTTAGTCTGAGTTTAGTGAATACACTATTTCATTTCAGCAGGTAAATAATGCACAAGTCTGTATGGATGATAACAGAAGAGTGGTGGAAGGAGCTGAAACTAAAAGTAAACCATGCTGTAGTCTACATGGACAATCAAATGGCAGAATTCCTTCACTGGAGTGGGGGAATCGGAATACTTTTATCAGCTGGTGTTGTTGACATCAGGGAATTTTCTTCTTTTGAGGTCAGTTTTAATAAACTTCATACCTTGAAGGCTGGAGTTATAGTGTGTATATTATTATGATAATATTTATATTGTAGGCCTAGTAACAGTAACATTTCTATATTTATAGTCTTCATCAAATAAGACTAGGTACAAAAACCTAATATTAATACATCTAATGTAAACAAATTTAATATTTTGCTTCTATAACATACCTACTGAACCTCTTATTATATGTAGAAATATACCCTTAATACCACTGCCATTTATTTAAAATGTTGTTTTTTTTAATTAGGCCTACTACTTCATCATTAATCCACTTGTTTTGTTGTTATTTTTTTTAAGATGAAATTTTGAAAACAAAAAATTGTAGATTTTTTAAAATATAATATTAAGAATTGAGATATGAAATCGAATATCCTATGGGGCTTAACTTCTTAAGAATTCTTCTGGGGTTTCACTGTGACCTTCAAATTTTTTTTTTTTAAAGTATCAACCTGTTCTCTAAGTCAGTTTGCAGAATACTGCATTGTTAAACTATTAGTGTTAGTGTCCAACGTGACATATTCCTAACAACTGCTAAGCCATCTTATTAAAAATGCTGAATTGGGTAAAAATATGCAGGATCACTCTGCCATATTTAAAACTTGTAAACTTTAAATTGAGAGATGTGTACTGAAGAAGTTTATGTTAGTACAGTTTGATTCAAATCTAATCATTAACCTTACCAAAGTATGATGGCAGTGTTTATAAAACAGTTCTTTTAATCTCTTTGCATTTTCTTTTAACTGAAAAAAAACAACAGAGTGCTTCAGAATCAATAAAAAAATCGGTCTTTATAATCAGCTCACCGCTGACTGGTGTCACGGAGGATATAATTAGAGACATTGTCACGCAAAGTCAATTCCAGTATGTTATAATCTTAACAACAGCCAGCCCACTGCTACACCCGGGCAACGAAGATTCTAGTGGTGATGATGCAGTTTTTGAAGCATTTGAGGAGAAAGTTTTGGAGTGGATGAGAAATATGGTAAAAAAAAATATTTTATGTTAAAGGAGTTTTGAAATCTAAAGAGAAGAGCCCTTCTTTGTTTGATCAGTATCACAAATTAACTCGGCAACCTTTGAACCTGGAAGAAAGGTTTTGAGTCATCCATTCTAATTGTTTTTATCTAAATTTACATCACAAAAAAAGTTTATATATTTATTTAAAATGATTTAACCCAAGCTCATCTAGGTGTTATATGTTTACAGAACTATACAGTTGAGATATCCCATATGCCCATGTTTGGTGCCGAGGTCTGCCCAGGATTGTTCATCGCACCAGCCTTCTCCACCCTATTTCCTATCCTGACGTCAGATGTCAAGCAAATTGCTTATCAGTTCAAAAGTTCTCACAACACCAAGGTACGCCCGACTAAATCTCTCATTATTTTCTTTAAACTCACTAGTAGTGGTTTCAGGGTAATGTTTGGGGACATTCTCCACTGCTCCTACATCTGCCCCTCCTCAAGGGGACTTTTTCAGTTTGCATGCACTTTAGAGCAACATTATCCGGAATCCTTTCTATCCTGGTTCTGCCACTGGATATTTCATTTTCACTTAAATGTTTTAAGACATCGTAGAAAATAAAATTTAAAGCATAGCCTTATTTTTATTAGCCATATTTTAATGTCACTCACAGTTGCCCTTGGGCTAAGAATGACAAAATGACTCTTATGGTTTTCATTGTCACGATTACTACAGTACTCTAGTTTAGAGGCGCCGCTAGAATATTAACTCAAGTTCTTTACATCATTCGCCTCATGGTATAAATTATGTTAATAGTTATTGTTTAATATATAATATATTAAATGAATCACAATTTTTTTTTTACAAGACTGAGTTCCTGCATTTGTTAAAATTGAAAACTAATTTGAAAATGAATTTTTTTTTACTTTAATAATGTGCAGAATCCCTGTCTACTTAAACCCCCAAGAAAATTTTAACAACTCATTTGCTGCTGAAATGATAAGAATGTTTATGCATTCCTCCATAAGGACCCCAAGCCTATTGAAGGACTAAAGGATCTTGAATTGTCTCATCTACCAGATAACTTGCAGCTACAGATAAAGGTTCTTTTCAAAATGTCTTTTTTTTTTTTTTTAATTTTTTTATTACTTCATTTTTTTAATTTTGTAAATTAATAGTTAATGGTAATATAAAATTGTTTTAATTTATTTTTATTTCAACATTGTTTAAATTTTTTTTTATCTTTAAAACTTTTTTATATTAATTAGTTAGTTGTATTTACTTGCAGCTACAGATAAAGGTTCTTTTCAAAATGTCTTTTTTTTTTTTTTTAATTTTTTTATTACTTCATTTTTTTAATTTTGTAAATTAATAGGTAATGGTAATATAAAATTGTTTTAATTTATTTCTAATTCAACATTGTTTAAATTTATTTTTATCCTTCAAACTTTCTTAAACTAATTAGTCAGTTGTATTAGGATTTATTGTTCTTCCAACATTATTTAGACAGGGAAAATAAACTTTGTGTGTAACTAAGATGGAAGAAGCCATTATTATAAAATCACATACACGTCTGGTGAATTACTTTGGCTCTTTTGGAAAGTAACATAATAAAATAATCTCCAAAATTATGTCCCTTGAAATAAATCTAACCATTCAACTTCCAAGCATTTATAACTTTGTACGGCAGGCTAATTGGTGTCTGAATGGGGCAGTAACTCTGAATTTAGAAGTTGTTTTGGTGGTAATACATGTGCAAAAAATTACCTAGGTTGCAGAAAATAATTTCCATCACTTTGACAAGTCATTTCTACTTGTGCTCAGGTTCTACAAGTGGTAATTTTTTTTATTGAGTTTCTAATAACAATCACTGACATTTGAATTATGCCAATGATTTTACTTAATATTTTCTTTAAAAAAATTAATTTATAGTAAATTGCTCTTTTTCTTTTTTTTCTCAAGCTATTGGCCAGCGGCCTGCATGCATTGCTACAAGGCCTGGACGTGAAAGAAGATATATATTCTATCGGCCACACTAGTCGACTAGTTGCAGCAGAACTGGACTCCTACCCTCCAGCACGAATGCGTAGGAAGGTATTGGGCAGTTTTAATTTTTTAATATTTAATTAGGAAATAATGTATTTGTTTTGTGTTTTTCTTATAAAGAGCCCTCCATCTTTTTTTTTTATATACAGGTTTATGGCAGTCTTGTGAAATAAATATTGTTGTTTACCTTGGTAAATTAATTTCTCACTCATGGCTGTCGGGCTTTCAAAACAATGTCACACGCTCAATTTTTCCTATCATGCTCCCTGGCTGAACGAAACTCCTTCCACTTGTTTCTGATGCCAACATTTTAATTCAACTGATTTATTCCCTAAGTAAATGACAACTTCTTTGGATTGAGTGAATCTAGATAAATATAATTTGGTTAAAAACAGATGTTGTCATGTCTTGGGTTGTTTTTTTTTGTATATCTTGCTATTAGTAATCTAAATTTTTGAAGTAGTTTATTGGGTTTTTTTATTTCACAGGCTGTACAAAATAGAGCGTCGCTAGTTCTAATTGACAGAACACTGGACACAGCATCAGCTGTCACTCACCAAATGGACAGTCTCATGGACAAAATCATCAACACTTTGCCACCCTTACCAGGACATTCAAGTGACAGATTAGTTGACATGCAAGCTTTGTGTCATGTCATCAGGTCTGTCAATCTACCACTGCTTTGTTTTGTTGTATCAGATTTTGCGGGCTAAGACAGTGGGTTGTGTCATTTTCTGCTAAGTTACTGAGTTTTTTGTGTCATTATTTTCTAGCTAAGTTACCCAGTACCGAGTTTTTTTTGTGTCATTATTTTCTAACTAATTTACTGAGTTTTTTTGGGTCATTATTTTCTAGCTTATTTACTGAGGTTTTTTTTTTGCGTCATTATTTTCTAGCTAAGTTACCGAGTTTTTTTGGGTCATTATTTTCTAGCTAAGTTACCGAGTTTTTTTGTGTCATTATTTTCTAGCTAAGTCAGTGAGTTTTTGGGTCATAATTTTTAGCCAATTCAGCTTTATGCAGGGTGGGGGGGTGTTTAAGTAATGAAAATAAAAAAAATAACATCAATGCTGTAAATTAACCCACAAACTGTGGCATGCATTATTCTGTAGTGTGGAGCTTTTCAGAGCGTTTTGAGTGCCTTTTGAAATTGCATTAAATGACATAGAAATATTGATACAAGACCCCAATAAGTATATATTTTTAGAAAGGTAAATGGATGGGGATAAAGTTGACTATATTGCCCACCCCGTAAAAAAAATGTGTTCAGTGTCCTTGACCTTGGAGTTCTCAAGAAAAAAAAATCGACAAAATGTCTTGCTTTCAAGTGCTCATAACATCATTAATTTTTATAGATACACTTAAAACACAAATCTAAATGTTGCATCCAATTCATTTATCTTTCAGAAAATGTATAGTTTGCTAAGGTTTTGATTGCAATTAAACCTCTGAAAGCAATTTAATTAATTTTAGGTCAGTTATATAAGAAACTGGGACCACTGCTAAAACCAAGTACAAAATACGAAATGTCAGGCAAAATAGTTATTATTGACTAGTAAACATTTTAAAAGGAACTAAGGAACTGATTTGGGTTGTTTAGCTATAAAATTTATAAGTTCTGAACTATAATCTGTAGCTTCTGTGACTAAAATTCATTCAGTCCTTGCCCAACCTCCGGGCCTGGCTCGAAGTCTAACAGTAGCCTCAGTAGGTCTACGGCAGTATCACTAAGACTAGTATAAAATTCATGAGAAGAATAATCTCAACTGAAATCGTCATGGGGAATTTTAAAATCATCATCAGTATCACTTAAAACCTCTCCTAAAAGCTTTCAAACATAGTTCTATTAGTTCTTGCACTGAAGGCCCAGCCATGGCTTCAACCATTTTAGCTTTAAAAAAACAGCAATATAAAACTCTGATTAAAAAGTAGTTATTTTCAAGTTATCACGAAACAGCTTGAACCGGAAGATGATTTAATTATTAATAAAAGGAAGTGGCTATAATTCCGGTTAAATAATGGATTGGAAGTTGCTATCGGACTGTGTTTTTTATCGCCAATTTTTACAGATCGAGAAAGTCTGCCGATTTTTTTGGCCGACACAGTTTGCAGGTTAAATTAAGTTAATTCCAAAGAAATTTTCAATTTAATAAAAAAAAAAAAGTAAAATATTTATTGGTTATTGTGTACTTTTATTTGTTGTCTTTTTAAGTTGTCATCATTTCTGTTTCATTGTTCAGAAGTGACTCTCTCACATCAGTAATCCTGCCTGGAAGTTTAGCCTCGACAAATTTCACCTGTGAACCTTCTCACCTTTTACCTTTGATCCACAAGAAACAGAAGGTTGTTTGTTTATTATACAGTTGTTTATTTTATAGTTGTTTATTTATAGTTGTTTTATTTACAATACATACAGGTCTTTTGAAATTTTTAGTTGCCTCAGTTCAATATTTATTGTCGAGGTTACCTTTCCTCTTTCTCTCTATCTTTGGAGTCATTGATATTTGCTATATTGCTTCTACAGCTGTGGAAGGCATTTCTGTGGATGTCTTTACTGTTACAACACCTCTTTATTCCCTCGTCATTTATTCCTTAAGTTCACAGTAGGAATTTTCCAACGTCCCCATTTCAGTGACTCATTTGTTTAGCCTCATCGCGTCCTCTTTCACGTTCCAGGAAGCAATAATGGAGGTCAATCGCAGATTAGTAGAAACCGCCTCGGCTGAAAAACTGCCCCTGAATCTGACGGGTAGACCTGGGAGAATAACGGCTGACCAGATCGAGGCTAGTGTCAGTTTGTTCAAGTAAGTTTGAGATTGCCAATTTGTATAAAGTCACTCTTACATGAGAGCACCAACTGATGCTGTTTTCTAAAATGTTCATGTTTTTTGTTTTATTTAGCAACATGTGCATACACTAAAAATGATACCTATAGGTATATATATATATATTTAAAATGAAATACGAATTAAGCAAAATAAAATAATATTGCAAATAAAAACAGACTGGTGTGGGTACGTATATTCCTTCTATCATTCATGCAAATTTACTTAAGATTTAATCAGATCTTTAGAAAAACCTTGTGCTTATCTTGGCATGAATAATGTCAGGGCATACAAGATATCAGGGGCAAGAATGTCAGTTTTTTTTCCAACTTCTAGTAAGTCATTTTTAACCGTAAATATTGTAGAGTGATATTTCAAAACACAGCTTGCAAGATATTTTCACAGAACAAAATTTGATGGATCTGTTTGGAAAAAATCTTCTTTTTATTTTTTTTTTAATTTTAACCACCTAGCAAGAAAGTCATAGAAATGCTGCATTTATTAAGTTGACTCCATGGTTATGATTAAATGAAAGGTTTGAGATTATACAATTTTGTTCTTGGTTTCACTTCTCTTTCCTTCCACCAGAGGTAAATACCCTCTGGTCAAGAAGCACCTTGATTTGCTGCAGGTTGCCATGGCAACCAGCCAAGCCCTGAAGCACCCTGCAGGACAGGACAGTTGTGTGATCACAGAGAAAAATGTGGTCCAGACCATGGCTGAAAATGATGAGTCTGCTCCTAGTGGGATCTCAGTACTCTCAAAACTGATCTTACAAGAAATGCAGAAACCAACTGACAAGCGGTAAAAACAATTGTTCTGTAATTACTGTAATGCTGTGTGTAATTTAGTGTGATGCCATATGTGTAATTTAGTGTGATGATGTGTGTGTAATTTAGTGTGATGCTGTGTGTTTAATTTATTGTGATGCTGTGTGTGTAATTTGGTGTGAAACCTTGTGTGAAATTTAGTGTGATACCGTGTGTGTAATTTGGTGCGCTGCTGTGTGTAATTTGGTGTGATGCTGTGTGTGTAATTTGGTGTGATGCTGTGTGTGTAATTTGGTGTGATTCTGTGTGTGTAATTTGGTTTGATGCTGTGTGTGTAATTTGGTGTGATGCTGTGTGTGTAATTTGGTGTGATGATGTGTGTGTAATTTGGTGTGATGATGTGTGTGTAATTTGGTGTGATGCTGTGTGTGTAATTTGGTGTGATGATGTGTGTAATTTGGTGTGATGCTGTTTGTGTAATTTGGCGTGATGCTGTGTGTGTAATTTGGTGTGAAGCCGTGTGTGTAATTTGTTGTTATGCCATATGTGTAATTTGGTGTGAAGCCATGTGTGTAATTTAGTGTGATACAGTGTGTGTAACTTGGTGTGATGCTGTGTGAAAATTGGTGTGATGATGTGTGTACTTTGGTGTGATGTTGTTTGTGTAATTTGGCGTGATGCTGTGTTTGTAATTTGGTGTGAAGCCGTGTGTAATTTGTTGTTATGCCATATGTGTAATTTGGTGTGATGCTGTGTGTGTAATTTGGTATGATGCTGTGTGTGTAATTTGTGTGATGCTGTGTGTGTAATTTGATGTGATACTGTGTGTGTAATTGGCTGTGAAGCTGTGTGTGTAATTTAGTGTGATGCTGTGTGTGTAATTTGGTATGATGCTGTGTGTGTAATTTGGTATGATGCTGTGTGTGTAATTTGGTATGATGCTGTGTGTGTAATTTGGTATGATGCTGTGTGTGTAATTTGGTGTGATGCTGTGTGTGTAATTGGCTGTGATGCTGTGTGTGTATTTTGGTGTGATGCTGTGTGTGTAATTTGGTGTGATGCTGTGTGTGTAATTGGCTGTGATGCTGATTTCTTTTTGGTTTCCAGAATTGTTAGATCTGTAGAGATACAAAGTTGATTTGTAATGTTGAAAATTTCTTGTGTTTCAATAATTTTGATGGCAAGCAGGATTTATCTGTGTTTGTTGTTCTTTGGCTTGTGTACCAAGACTTGACTAGAGAGATTTGATGGCAAGCAGGATTTATCTGTGTTTGTTGTTCTTTGGCTTGTGTACCAAGACTTGACTAGAGAGATTTGATGGCAAGCAGGATTTATCTGTGTTTGTTGTTCTTTGGCTTGTGTACCAAGACTTGACTAGAGAGATTTGATGGCAAGCAGGATTTATCTGTGTTTGTTGTTCTTTGGCTTGTGTACCAAGACTTGACTAGAGAGATTTGATGGCAAGCAGGATTTATCTGTGTTTGTTGTTCTTTGGCTTGTGTACCAAGACTTGACTAGAGAGATTTGATGGCAAGCAGGATTTATCTGTGTTTGTTGTTCTTTGGCTTGTGTACCAAGACTTGACTAGAGAGATTTGATGGCAAGCAGGATTTATCTGTGTTTGTTGTTCTTTGGCTTGTGTACCAAGACTTGACTAGAGAGATTTGATGGCAAGCAGGATTTATCTGTGTTTGTTNGTTTTACTTTATTCAGTTTAAATGGAAATTTATTGGTGGGGAGGGGGGGGATTCTTAGTTAATTGTGATATGTTCTGTAAGAGTATCAAACACTTGTCATTACTTGTGTCTACAGAGATCTTACTCTTGACAATGGCCTGGGGTTGTTGGTCTATGTGTATGCCATATCAGATGGAGAGTGTGGAGATGAATACTCAGTAAGAATATCTAACACTTGTCATTACTTGTGTCTACAGAGATCTTACTCTAGACGACGTCCTGGGGTTGCTGGCCTACGTGTATGACATATCAGACGGAGAGTGCGGAGATGAAGATGAGGAGATGGCAATCAGGGTAACATATATTTTACCCTCTATATTTTAATTAATTAATTCTTTTCTGCTAGTAGTTTTGTTGATGAGCGCGGGGGGAAAAAAATAATCTGAGGTTGTAACAATTTCCATTTTTAGAATTTTAAATAATCAGTTAACTAAACATTTCTTCTGCAAGAATTTATTTAATTTTGACTAAGCATCATTTTAATTTTAACTGTTGGTATCCTGTGTAATTCTTTTCATTGAGGATGTTTGATAGAAGATTTTTTTACAATCATTCAAACGTCTGTCAGATCTATTTCATTTAATTTATAATGTTTTAAAACAGCTTTGTTTATAGTATTGTTTGTAATGAGTTGGGGGCAAATTTCACTCCTTGGTTTCCATGCATTTGTTTGCTTCTTCTGTAGGAGTTATTAGTCGAGTGGATTATAAAAGACAGTGATGTGTTACCTCCCCTGTTTAAGAAAATAGGTAATGTCAATAAAATGCATTTTAATTTTTGTCATTTTTTTTGTGTTTTCTATCTATAGTTCAGCTAAATGTAAGTTTATAAAGTTTTATAATAAAATAAATTGCATGAATAGCTTACCTGATATATTCTTCTTATGTCAGTTATATAAAGACTGAATCTCTCTCCCAGAAAGAGATTGATTCTCTCTCTCAGAATGAGATCGGCTCTCTCTCTCTCTCAGAATGAGATCAGCTCGTTTTTGCCATAAATATGTCATCACTTCGTGTTAGACAAACCATTACTTTACTAAGTATTCATTCAGTTTTAGTCTTGTGTGGTGATAAGAAAATAGTTTCAATTCCTTGCAAAGGAAATGAGCAGCTCTACAATGGCTATAACTTGGATCTTATTCAATAGAATGTTTCTATCAGAAAAAAAAATTATTTAGGCTACCTATTAAGATTTAAAAAATTGTTTCCATTCTTACAGTACCTAAGGAGCTCTATGGAAAGTCCACATATAATTTAAAATATTTCAGAGGTCAACATAAAATGCATTTGGTCAGACATTTTTTAAAATAATAAACACATATCAATTATAGAAATCGGAATTCTAAAACACCAACAAGGCTTAATTTTGTCATGAGCCAATTGTTTGCTCTAAGTAGATCAGTTATAAGTTCTCTACTACCAGTAGTATTCCAGGTGTAAAGCACGAAAAGCCTGTATTGTATTCATCCCTGTGGCCCTAGACTTTGGCCTGGATTATGTCCATCCCTGTGGCACTACAGCTCACGTAGGGCCCTCTGGCTTGTATTCTAGGAACTTTAAAGATGAATCAGGCTAAAAGATTTGAGACAAAAATATTTAACAAAAATGTTTATTTCTCTTGTATTGTTGATAACCATTTTTGTATCTATTTATAAGTTGGTGACAAAGTAAATGAGAGCATTTTAACTGACCAGATTGAAAACTTGTGGACAAGACTAGAAGATATAGGATGTGCCAGGGACTCAATGCAGCAGTTCAAGTAAGTTGTGGTGGTGTGTAGGGCTATAGAAGATGTAAGATATGACAGGGACTCAATGCAACAGTTCAAGTAAGTTGTGGTGGTGTAATGGGCTACAGAAGATGTAAGATATGCCAGGGATTCAATGCAACAGTTCAAGTAAGTTGTGGTGGTGTAATGGGCTACAGAAGATATAAGATATGACAGGGATTCAATGCAACAGTTCAAGTAAGCTACAGAAGATGTAAGAAGTGCTAGCTACTCAATTCAGCACTTCACCTAAGCTGTGTGGGAGTTTGAGGTTGGCTGGCCTAAAATTGTAGCTGTTAAAAAAAAATTTGGGAAAGGGGGAGAGGTTGTTATGGGCTAGCTGGACTTATGATAGCAGCTGTTGTTGAAACCAGAGACGTCTTTGTACAAGTCAAAGTGCACCATAAGTCATAGCACTGCGGGAGCTCCACATTAAGTTTTATTAACTGTTGCATTTTTATGAATTAAAAAAAAAATATTGTCGTATTTCAACTAATATACATTTTGTTATCCCTCCGTGTAAACACATTTTGTTATCCCTCCGTGTAAACACATTTTGTTATCCCTCCGTGTAAACACATTTTGTTATCCCTCCGTGTAAACACATTTTGTTATCCCTCCGTGTAAACACATTTTGTTATCCCTCCGTGTAAACACATTTTGTTATCCCTCCGTGTAAACACATTTTGTTATCCCTCCGTGTAAACACATTTTGTTATCCCTCCGTGTAAACACATTTTGTTATCCCTCCGTGTAAACACATTTTGTTATCCCTCCGTGTAAACATTTATTTATATATTTATGTTAAGATCAGTCCTTAACCCTGGAGACGCTGTCACACCTGCTGATGTTCGACCTTTGCTGCGACAGCTTGTGGAGAAAATTGTGGACCCAGCTAAACCTGAACTACCGGATGTGGAGTGTAAATCTGGGGGTCTCAAAGACCTGCTCAAGTCAGGATTTGGGTAAGAAATGGGCTGTAAATCTGTAGTGCCTCAAGGACTTGATCAAGTCTAGATTTGGATGAGAAATTAGTTGTAAATCTAGGGGGTCTCAAAGACCTGCTCAATATAGGATTAGGGTAAGAAATGGGTTGTAAATCTGTGGTGTCTCAAGGACCTGATGAAGTCTAGATTTGGGTAAGAAATTATTTCTTCTGGTAGTGGTTCTGGTAGTGATCGTTGCTGCATCCATATACCGGCATCTGTGTTGTAAATCTAGGGGGTCTCAAAGACCTGCTCAATATAGGATTTGGGTAAGAAATTAGTTGTAAATCTAGGGGGTCTCAAAGACCTGCTCAATATAGGATTTGGGTAAGAAAATAGTTGTAAATCTAGGGGGTCTCAAAGACCTGCTCAATACAGGATTTGGGTAAGAAATTAGTTGTAAATCTAGGTGGTCTCAAAGACCTGCTCAAGTCAGGATTTGGGTAAGAAATGGTTTCTCCATATTATGTCACTGATGCCATATCTTATATTGTCTGTGCCACATATTCGCTGCTAATAAACCATATGTACATGGCTCTCCCAGATATGTGAGAATGTGTCCAACTATGATATAATATTTAAGGGTTATTCCTGAAACAATGTTGTCCCTGTTGCATAGTAGTAAAGTCATCTTCTGCTTGAGTGAGAGGTTGTATTTTATCCGAGGTATTTCCCAGGGTCAGGATAACATTTGCCTAGAATTGACCTATTAGTCACAAGTAAGGCAGCCATTTTGGGAGGTGAACCCTGGATAAGTATCATCAACCAACAAAATCGGAAGATGGCAGCAAACTTGGCTTGCGTTTATTCATTAGCTGTCTGTGCAAAAAACACCTGTAGTCTACATGTTAAGGATCTTAAGGGTCATCCTAAGGAATCATCTGGTACATGAAACAAATGCTATATTATTGAATGAGTTTTTGGCTAAATAAAATTGCGTACCTAATCATGGGTGAGTGAAAAAGATATCATCATTTTTTTTAAAGAGATATCTGTTCAAATGATACGTAAAGTTCATAAAGTCTTATCTAGGATCTGGCACTTGGATGAAAATTAATTTTGAGCCTGAGCTAATACAATATCATTATGATCTGCCTTAATAAATAAGGCTCAGCAGTTGAAATAAGTACACATTTTATTGGTGCAATTAATTAGGAAAGTACGTAATAATAACATTACTTAACCGGGTACATCAAAATATGGTACATGTGTGTTAGTGTTAGTAACTGACAGCATAAAAAAAAATTTTAATTGGTAATGTTTTAACCAAGTTTGTTAAAAGCTTTTGAAGAAATGGGGTACATCAAAATATGGTACATATGTGTTAGTAACTGACAGCATAAAAAAACATTTAATTGGTAATGTTTTAACCAAGCTTGTTAAAAGCCTTTGAAGAAATGGGGTACATCAAAATATGGTACATATGTGTTAGTAACTGACAGCATAAAAAAACATTTAATTGGAAATGTTTTAACCAAGCTTGTTAAAAGCCTTTGAAGAAATGGGGTACATCAAAATATGGTACATATGTGTTAGTAACTGACAGCACGAAATTTTATTTTTTTTTAAATTGGTAATGTTTTAACCAAGATTGTTTAAAAGCCTTTGAAGAAATGGCGCTCTAAAATCAATTTAATTTTTCTTTTGGTCAGCTTTTTTAAGAGCTCAGGGAAACCTCGCCCCGGTGATGCCCCCTTGTTAATGTTGTTTGTGATTGGTGGAGTGACAGCCGGAGAAGTCAAACAAATCAGGGATGTCGTCGACAAGGCAAAACCCCAGTTTGAGGTACATGCAACATGTTTTATCATTGGTTCGGACTTTGTTTATTGAATGTGAGGACAGATGTACTTTATTGACAGAGCTGAGACAACTGTTAATTCAATGCTGAGACAACCGTTAATTCAATTCAAGATTATGACGTTAAAAAGTTGATTATTTTATTAGTTGCATTTTGATTTCCTCATTGTGTCATTGTAAGTTCATTTCTAAAAGAACTTCTGAACTACAAAAATTAGTTTTGAATTCATTCTGCAAAAAGTGAGAAAAAAAAACATAAAATATTACATTTTACTTTAAAAGGTCCAAAAACTCTGCCAAAGTCTACTGTTGGCAAGTGTTACCAAAACTCTGCCAAAGTCTACTGTTGGCAAGTGTTACCAAAACTCTGCCAAAGTCTACTGTTGGCAAGTGTTACCAAAACTCTGCCAAAGTCTACTGTTGGCAAGTGTTACCAAAACTCTGCCAAAGTCTACTGTTGGCAAGTGTTACCAAAACTCTGCCAAAGTCTACTGTTGGCAAGTGTTACCAAAACTCTGCCAAAGTCTACTGTTGGCAAGTGTTACCAAAACTAGATTATTAGCTTTTCCATATGCCAGATGTATTGTTTCCTTAAAGTCAAAAGTTACAAAATTCATTTGGTGATCACGATTTTGTCTTCTCACCTTCTGGGTGTCCAATTTAGACACGTAATGTTTTCATAGCTTTCCGTCCATACCATTCACACCACACTCAGGAGGAGATAACAGGATAATGCAAATATTTTATCAGGAAGTAAAAAATAATATTTTTAAATCATGTGATTTTACGTTTAAGGTCAGAGGTTAGAGTCCAGTGGGGAGAAAATTGACAAGGATGAGGAAATGTCCCCAGTCAGAACAGATGGAAAATGTCCCCAGTCAGAACAGATATGAAATGTCCCCAGTCAGAACAGATATGAAATGTCCCCAGTCACAACAGATATGAGGAAATGTCCATAGTCAGAACAGATATGAAATGTCCCCAGTCAGAACAGATATGAAATGTCCCCAGTCAGAACAGATATGAAATGTCCCCAGTCAGAACAGATATGAAATGTCCCCAGTCAGAACAGATATGAAATGTCCCCAGTCAGAACAGATATGAAATGTCCCCAGTCAGAACAGATATAAATGTCCCCAGTCACAACAAATATGAAATCTCCCCATTCAGAACAGATAATACTTAAAACACCAGGAAGCTAATTTAGTCCTGTTATTTAATTTATATTCTTTTAAATTGCCAAGTGGGGTCATTTGTTGTTATCATTTTTTTCCTTCAGAAATTGTACGTTGGGAAATGGCATCAGCGAGCCGTCGAGCTAGTTCATAAGCTCTTTATGCCCTCCCCAAAGAACCCCACTCCCCCAGCCCGAGTTTTCGGGTGGTGACGCCTGGACAGCTCCCCTCCGCACTCCCTCGATCGAGTGCTAGCGGAGGCCACCCTGGCCCAAGGACATTCGGTCGGCCAGTGATGCTGATCTCAATGTGTCAGCAGTAGACTTTCCCATGGGGTGGGGATGATATATTACATCCTAAAATATTCCCCCTCCCATCCCAGGGATGCGTAAGACACCCTCTAGGGATTTCTACAGTGGGTTTCTATCTTCCAACTAATTTACAAAGTAGCTGGGACGAAAGGGTTGCCTAAGGATGGCTACCTCAGTGGCTGTGTAACTAGAATCACTGGCAACAGGTTACGACTACCCACCTCACACTACCCACCTCACACTACCCACCTCACACTACCCACCTCACACTACCCACCTCACACTACCCACCTCACACTACCCACCTCACACTACCCACCTCACACTACCCACCTCACGCCTTGTGTTCATCAGCAGCAGCACGTCATCATGATCCTAACCCTGTTCTTTTTCTTCTAAAATTACCTGTTATATGATCATCAGGTCTCAGTGGCTGACATTAATGGAAGATTAAGTTTTTAGAAAATTGGATACAATTTCCAATCCAGGATATTTACAATATGATACTTTTCAAGTTAAACCAGACTTTTTATATATTATTTGCATACCTGTCTCATTGTTTTGTACACCTATACTTTCTAACCATTGGTTTAAATTGTATAAGATTGTTTACAAACTATGTTGTTTGTAAAGAGTTGGTAGTGTAAACATCTTGCCTGATGGCATCTCTCACGTTTCGTTTTCTAGATGGGGGTGTTGTGAATTTCATTAATTTTTCTATGAAATGACTTCACATCTTCAGAAATTGTAAATCTGTTCTCCTAGTTCTAAGTTCACTGACAAGTCTTTACATGATGCTTATGTCTCCCACACAGGTCATCATCGGCGCCACAAGATTGTCCAGCATCAGCTCAACACTGGAGTCAATCTTTGTTTCAGATAACATCAACAAATATGATTTATGATCTTGTGAAAAATTATGGTTGCATATTGTGATACTTGCTTAATGAAGTTATGAAGTAAATGCTATTTATGGTACAGGGGAACTTGATGTAAGTTTACTCATGGGGCCAGCATTGATGAACTTGCTAAATTACCCAAGGTGTTTAGGAATTATTGCTTATTTAGGCATTTATATTTCTTCTTAATTCTCAACAACATGATCATGGCCATAACAGTTTGAGAGTCATCAAACATAAAAGTAAAATATTTTTATTGACATCTTAATTGTTTGTCATCTATGGCCGCTCACATCTGACTGCTTGGTTTAATATGAAGCTTGAATTGTGATGATAGAATATTGTCAAGCAAGTAATTTAAGAAGTTATTTTTGTCTCAAGCTATTTAAATGTACCTGTTTAATTAAACTTTTAAATATTAAACACATGCACCAATCACCACCAAAGTTGTTTGATCCAATTCCTACACTTACTTTGATGCAGTAAAAAAAAAAAATTAATTCCCCTTGAACCCCAAATCTATTTAATAAAGGAAGGAAATTATTTAACAATTTTCAAATGCTGCAGTGTGTGAACAGTTTTCAATGATTTATGTCATTGGCCAACTCAGAAGGTATAAAATCATTTGTTGTATGTCATGAGAAACAGATAATAAGATCATTTAAAGTAAGTGGCCGTAATGACCATATGGAATTTTTTTAAAGTCTATGTAAAGAGAAAAATATATCAGAAAAGTACATATCATTTCATAAAATGTGAACACAAGCAAACAAGCCAGACATCATTTACAATCACTGGTATATTTATGTACAAACTTACATTAGTTCATATTTTAAAACACAATCATTTAAGTATCAGACTGCTTCCTCTAGATATTTTTGGACACTGAGCAGGCTCATCTCATTAATGGAATCAGTTTGAGAAAATTACATGAAAATATTATGCATTGGTGGCACAAAGGTGGTGCATCAGATGGTGGTTGGTTAGTTCCGATTGTTTGGGGTCGTTCCCAGCAAGGAACAAATAGCCAGGTGGCATGGACTTGCCAGAAAAGAAAGATGGCTTTCTTAGGGAGGAGATAATCCTGGCTTTAAAAAAACTTCAACCAAAGAAGCCTGAAAGACAGCAGCCAGCTTTGCGTGGAATTAAATAAGCTGTCTGTGTTGTCCATCAGTGTTGTCCCAACACTTGGCAAAACTTGACATTGGTGTCACATGTAGAACAAAATATCTCATCAACTCTTAGCTCATAAAAAGTCGGTGATGGATGTTATATTTTTTAAAATAAATTGAAGTAGCATGGGCAGTTTTGAAACTTTAAAAGATATCTTCACACTAAAACAACAGTTAGCACTTTTCCAACAATTTCATTTTCTAGCCAAGGCTTGGTTATAAACTTTGAATTCAAAGATCCAATTGTTGAGTCAAATAGTTAAATATGAAGTTTAATCCAAAACAGCAAGCCAGTCCAATATTTTGAAAGGTTTTGCTGCAATGTTGGTGTCAGTGCATGTAGGCCATTAAGATGCATTTATTGTTTAACTAGTTCAGGATTCGGCCATGAAATTGGGGCTATGAAATCTCCACCGTTGGGGTAAGTAAATTTGCTGTCTGTAAATGCAGCTATTCCAACACGACATTTTTTTCAGCCATTTTTTGTAAAGCAAACCTCAAGGGTGAGAAATGTGTAAGCCATGACCGTGTTACCCTGGTTTCATTGGTTCATATCATAACCTCAATAAGCCTAACTGACCCAAGTGATGGCAGACATGACTGGACTGACCTCACCACTCTGACAGGATGTGACGCAGTTGTGACTGGACTGGTGTTGACTGTGTGTGGCCCTCAGCTCTGCTATGACGTCACCATTGAGCAGATGATCAGGTTCGAGGTTGATGTTGGGCGGCACGAAATCGTTGGACCAGAGCTCGTCCAGAGCTTTGAGGTACGACTGGTCGAATATTTGTTTCTTTATTGGGGTGGGACTTAAATGGTGATTGACAGCTTGGTGGGCGGATTCTGTATTTCGAAATGTTGACAGTGCTAGTAATATAAAAATAAAAAATTTGGATTAAAATTTCTTGATGGTAACTTAAACAACTGGTACTCACTTCATTATCGTATATGAAATCATTTCATTTTTAATTGAAAAAAAGGAAAGAAGTATTTAAATTATATTAAGTTTATCATTAAAAAATAAATGTACCAACATAAATTTAAAAAACATCTTGTAAAGATTATAATAATTAAGCATCAACGAACCTGGATTAACAATAGGTAATGGGTATCCACCAGCAGGGGGGTGAACTATGCTCGACTGAGTATCCTGTGAATTACTGCAGTTACCTCCCGCATTTTTTTCGGCGACCCTTCGCTGACGAAACCATTGTCTCAATGCTGAGAAATCCATCCCTAAATCTGAAGCCATTTTCTCTAACGTGTCTCGTTTCGGTTTAGAATTTTCTTTGAAATATTCAAGTAGAAGGTTTTCTTGGAACTCTTTAATCGCTTGATTGGTTTCTTCATTTGTCTGCGGGCTCTGGTCTGTACAGCCTGAAGGGAAGAGGAACAAAACATCTCGTTTCTCATCTTTCATTATACTTCTACCAAAGGGGTCGCGACTCACAGGGTGAGAACCGCTGAACTAGTGGTTAGGACTACGCAGGGAAGTCTTCTGAGTGGTTGAATATTGAATAGATAGATTGATAACCAATAATTACAATTACGCTAAAATTTCAATAATTTTTTTTTTTTTAATTTTTATTAAATTTTTAAGAATCAAATTATCAAAATCCAGATATTTCCGATCAAGGTGCGATACCTGTGCGATCAAAGGTGTACCATGGTCCATAGTCATGTCTCTTGGACTGAGTTCATTATACCTCTTGTGGTGGTGGGAGCCTAGTGATGCTGGGAGCCTAGTGGTGGTGGGAGCCTAGTGGTGGTGGGAGCCTAGTGGTGGTGGTAACGTAGTGGTGGTGGGAGCCCTAGTGATGGTGGGAGCGTAGTGGTGGTGGGAGCCCTAGTGGTGGGGTAATGGGGGTGGCATATGTCTTATTTACTTCTCTGTTCTGTTCCGTTAGCATTTTTTTCCCCTTTCCCAAATTAATTTGTTACTGGGAGAAATTCGAAACCGGGACTTTCTCTGTTAGACTTACTGTGTTGAAACATATAGTGATTGATGTAAAGCAGTGGTTCTCAACCTTCCTACTGCCGTAACCCTTTTATAACAGTTCCTCATGTTGTTGTGACCCCCTCCCCCACCCCCAACATAAAAATAGCGACCCCTTTGTAAGGGTCGTTCGACCCTCAAAGTGGTCGTGAGCCACAAGTTGATAACCGCTGGTGTAAAAACATTTAAGTATAACTAATTAAGTTAATAGGCCTGAACAATTCTATACTTGGATGTATTTTGAAATCATTATATTATGTTTTAAGTTGATTTAAAAATATCCCAGACTTCCCAAGCCACATGGCCAATTGGATCCATTTAAATTTATATTGAAAATTATAAATCGCTTAAAATATACTTCCAGACTCCAGACTACAGAATTATAATTTAAAAAAAAAAAAAACAAACAAACTTGAAATATTACAATATTAATATCCTATGTGATGTATTTTACCCCCCCCCCCCCCCCCCCAAAAAAAAAAAAAAACAGGGCCGGCCAGACGGTTGCTGGCGCCCTGTGCAAGCTTAAGTTTGGCACCCCTTTTTAGTATAATCATTAACGTAAAAACTAGTTATTCGACAATGAGTTTATTACCTATGTTGTTGTTCTTTTAATCAAACAATAAAATTGTTTTTGTTAATTTGCATCAGAATATATGTTTTTTTATTGCACTTTCGATTTTTCTTTCATGGCGCCCACATGCAATGCTGTTTCCTATTTTGGAAAATGGTTGATGGCGCCCTAAGCGCACGGTTATGGCACCCTAAGCAAAAGCAGGGTTCGAAAAGTTAGAATATCGTTTCTCGACCCTGGACCCAAGATTCACACTTCCCTATAATAAACTTATGAAATTTAAATATTTGCTGGGCGCCCCAGGCGCCCCTTTGGCCACGACGCTCTGTGCCAGGGCACAGGTCGCACACCCTAACAGCCGGCCCTGCCCCAAACAGCAACTAATATGTAACACCCCTGTGTCTTTTCAGTCGCGATTGCCGTTGTATACCCGAAATTAGAATCTTAAAATGATCCGATTCAGTAGAATTGATTTATTTTCATGAATCTACTAATCCTAATCGTTTCTGGCTGTGACACATAAAAAGTCAACAATTTCCTTGTTGCACTCGCTAGTGGCCTCGCTGTTTTGTTTACCGCCCGCCCCCCTCTCTCTCTCTCTCTCTCTCTCTCTCTCTCTCTCGCTCTCGCTCTTGTTGTGGCTGCACGCATCAAATGATCATTGGCGACGACAAAGGAAAACAACACGTCTGGAGGAAATCTGGGTCGCAGACGACACGATTGCGCCGTCTCGTTGTGTTTGGTTTTTTTTTCGAGTGGGGTGGGTGGGGGTGGAAAGGAGGGAGGGAAAGCTACCCCGCCTAATGGCAATTCACCAGTCTGGCACAGGGGTCATTCACACGTGACTGGTCAGTGGTACATTAGCGGTGGCCTTGTAAACATGACCTTTGGACGCAAGTGGTGTGGACGGACCCATGACGAAGGCGTTTTGATTAATAATTGTTCGATTAATTTGTATTTTTAAACTTGGGGGAAAGGGGGTGGGGGTTCTGCTCTGTTAATGAACTCACCCTAGAAAAATTGCGTACGTCTATAAGTTAGTCTAAGATAATATAATACATGTTTGGACATGGGTTGACCATGTTGTAATCCAAACTCACTGTAAAATACGCGCCGGCACTACACCCTTTAACATGTAAACCACAAAACAAAGATATAGTCGATATCCCAACATGTTCACCCAGAAACAAAGCATGGGAAAACCTGAAATAAAAGGCACGCAAATAAAACAGCGAACGTATCCGCAAGTAGCCTTCTTCATCAGCGAACAAACAACAGTAAAAAAAAAAAATTATAAGTTAGTAATAATAATTTTATTTAATTGTTTTTACTGTTGCTTGTTCGCTGATGAAGGCTTCTTGCCGACACTTTCGTTGTTTTGTTGCGTGCCTTTTTTCAGAGTTTCCCCATACTTTGTTTCGCCTATTTCCATTTTCTGAACCTGATTGCAGTCTCCTCCCCGCCCCCCTTATTACGTGAAATGAATAATTTAACGCGACCATCTCACTTGGCCACCACAATATAGTTTGACCTTGACCTGCGATACATTCAGACACGCGATAATAGACCAACAATGGCTGACCCTAACCGCTGGACAAACGTCTCAATGTACTTCTGAACAGCAGACAAGAGCTAAGTCCATGAGGCTTGAGAATCGAACTGGTCATCAATTATCATGGTCAGCACAATGGTCAGT